CTGACCTGCCGGTCACAGCCAGCCAGAACTATGACACTAAATGTTCTCAGGCTGTGAAGGGACACTGATTTAGTGTAATTGGTGCCATCTGTTAATCTGCCATCTGTTTTCTTAAACATGCCCAAAGCAGTACTATGAAGGAAAATAGTCACATTTTATCATGTACTACTGTCTAGGAATTACACAACCGCAATAAAAGTTTAGAATTCCCACTGCTATTGAGAGCAATTAATTTAACTGATGTCTCCAACCTATGGGGGAAATCATTTCATGTCTCCTATATCATTGCTGGGAAGGAGATAAAGTAAAGTTTTTACTATACAAGATACTTGCTATTCCTATAGTTCTTATGGTATTGTTACCATTATAAGGCATTCCCACACTAGTAAAATACTCCCATGATTTTATTAACTATAATAATAATCACTCCAGTGTGTACCTTAGGTGATGCCCATCAATCATTCAGGGACAATATAGACTGAATCCATTTAATCCCAACACCAGTAAGATTTCTGATTGTGGAATTTTGCCAAAGTTCATCTTGAACACTTGTCTGCTGCTTTACACAAATGAAAAGTGCAGGCATTTTACACATTTAAAACTGGGCTCCAGAGATACAGTGTAAAAAAACATACAGGAAAGTGTTACTAAACCCAGGACCCTACATTCACTATATCTGGTCTTCCAAAGTAGACACAACATGGAAGTGCAATTAATTTAGTAAAAATAAACTGCTCAATATCTCATCAGCAGTCAGAGCAGTCTTATGACTTCAGCAGAGCACTGGTTAAAGCTTGTAGGAGGAGTTTTCATTCTGCTCTAGGAGGATGCAAAACCCCTGACCCTCTGTCTGGACAGTGATGATTGGCCCTTTGCTGATCACTTGCACACTCCCATATCTCTAGCAGTACACACTAAACTGAGCATGTGCATGAAGACTACGGGTTAAGTCTGTCTTATCAAGTGGACATTTGAACAAGGGGAGGGACAGATAAAACAGGGCCAAACAGCCTTTTAACACAATGCAGAGGATTAGCCCCTTAGGTTCCACAGTGAGTATAAACAAGCATGCTTTACTGCATATACAGACTGATTTTACTGTTGTGGGTTTAGTAACACTTTAACTCTCCAGTATCAATAAAAAAAATGAAACATCAGTTTTGGATGTACGTAAAGTGCTTTTTTCCTCAGTAAGAAGGTAGCCAGTGATTTAGCCATTTTAGAAAAGCAACTCCCATCTGTGAAATCAACTGGCAAATTGTCAACTCTATCCTGAAAATAACACTAAAGTCACAAAATTCACTTTTTAAAATCTGGTCTCTTTATAATCTACACAAACCAATGTTTAAAGAACATATTTAGTAGTATATATTGATTTTTTTAAAATATGTATACAGTATATATGTTTTGGGTAAGCTGATAAAAATTAAATATAACATATGAATATTTGATAATTACTCTATGAGATCACTGGGTGGCAGGAAAAGAGGGAATGTAATAGGCTGGAGCATCTCAGATTAAGGCATGTTGCTTCCTCCTCTTTGTTTGCTCTTCCTGATCACTCCTTAATGAGATAATTGCATCACACCCAGACAGATACATATTTGGAGACATTACTGCAGTTTGTTGCTGGCTTTCTTTGTTGAAGGTGGTTTCCCATGCAACATTAAGCATAGATGGCTTGTCTCTCTCCACCCATGATGGTTATTTGACACTAGTAAATGGCAAACTGGCTACTGATCTCCCCCTCTGTGTATATATTTCTGTATTATCAGGTGGAAGTGTGGAGAGTTATTTTTTTAGAACAACCGTGTAGGAGTTTGGATCTTTTTTTCCCCTTCTCTTTACATAGTGGTATGTACTTATGAATATAATTAGAGATGAGCGAATTATTCAAAAATTAGATTCGGCTGATTCGCCGAATTTGCGGGAGAAATTCGATTCGATGCAAATTTATTCGCCGTGAATTTAACTTATTTAAAGGGTTTCTAGGCTTCAGAGAGCCTTTATATTAGTGCAGAACACTGTACCTTTAATTTAAATGCCCTTGGAGTCTGCTGGGGAAGAGAAATAATACTGTCAGTCAGTATGACATGCAGATGAGTGCCGTCGATCTTAGAATCACCGCACACTTCACTCATTTGGGCAGTCACGGGGCACGACGAAGAAGAAGAAGAAGAAGAAGAATGAAAAGAAGAATGAAAAGAAGAAGAAGAAGAATGAAAAGAAGAAGAATGAAAAGAAGAATGAAAAGAAGAAGAAGAAGAAGAATGAAAAGAAGAAGAAGAAGAATGAAAAGAAGAATGAAAAGAAGAAGAAGAATGAAAAGAAGAAGAAGAAGAAGAATGAAAAGAAGAAGAATGAAAAAGAAGAAGAAGAATGAGAAGAAGAATGAGAAGAAGAATGAAAAGAAGAATGAAAAGAAGAATGAGAAGAATGAAAAGAAGAATGAAAAGAAGAAGAAGAAGAATGAAAAAGAAGAAGAAGAAGAAGAATGAAAAGAAGAATGAAAAGAAGAAGAAGAAGAATGAAAAGAAGAAGAAGAATGAAAAGAAGCATGAAAAGAAGAAGAAGAATGAAAAGAAGAAGAAGAAGAATGAAAAGAAGAAGAAGAAGAATGAAAAGAAGAATGAGAAGAAGAATGAAAAGAAGAATTAAAAGAAGAATGAGAAGAATGAAAAAAGAAGAAGAATGAAAAAGAAGAAGGAGAAGAATGAAAAAGAAGAATGAAAAGAAGAAGAAGAATGAAAAAGAAGAAGAAGAATGAAAAGAAGAAGAAGAAGAATGAAAAGAAGACGAAGAATGAAAAGAAGAATGAAAAGAAGAAGAAGAAGAAGAATGAAAAAGAAGAAGAAGAAGAAGAATGAAAAGAAGAATGAAAAGAAGAAGAAGAAGAATGAAAAAAGAAGAAGAAGAAGAAGAAGAATGAAAAGAAGAAGAGAAAGAATGAAAAGAAGAAGAAGAATGAAAAGAAGAAGAAGAATGAAAAGAAGAAGAAGAAGAATGAAAAGAAGAATGAGAAGAAGAATGAAAAAAGAATGAAAAGAAGAATGAAGAAGAATGAAAAGAAGAATGAAAAGAAAAAGAAAAGAAGAAAAAAAGAAAAGAAGAAGAAGAAGAAGAAGAAGAGAAGAAAAGAAGAAAAAAAAGAAGAATGAAAAGAAGAAGAAGAAGAATGAAAAGAAGAAGAAGAATGAAAAGAAGAAGAAGAAGAATGAAAAGAAGAATGAGAAAAAGAATGAAAAGAAGAATTAAAAGAAGAATGAAAAGAAGAATTAAAAGAAGAATGAGAAGAATGAAAAGAAGAATGAATGAAAAGAAGAAGAAGAATGAAAGAAGAAGAAAGAAGAATGAAAAGAAGAATGAAAAGAAGAAGAATGAAAAGAAGAAGAAGAAGAAGAATGAAAAGAAGAATGAAAAGAAGAAGAAGAAGAAGAATGAAAAGAAGAAGAAGAATGAAAAGAAGAAGAAGAAGAGAATGAAAAGAAGAAGAAGAAGAATGAAAAGAAGAATGAAAAGAAGAAGAATGAAAAGAGAAGAAGAAGAAGAAGAAGAATGAAAAGAAGAAGAAGAATGAAAAGAAGAAGAAGAAGAATGAAAAGAAGAAGAAGAAGAAGAATGAAAAGAAGAAGAAGAAGAATGAAAAAAGAAGAATGAGAAGAAGAATGAAAAGAAGAATGAGAAGAAGAATGAAAAGAAGAAGAAGAAGAATGAAAAGAAGAAGAAGAATGAAAAGAAGAATGAAAAGAAGAAGAAGAAGAATGAAAAAGAAGAAGAATGAAAAGAAGAAGAAGAAGAATGAAAAGAAGAATGAAAAGAAGAAGAAGAAGAATGAAAAGAATGAAAAGAAAAGAAGAAGAAGAAGAATGAAAAGAAGAAGAAGAATGAAAAGAAGAAGAAGAAGAATGAAAAGAAGAATGAAAGGAAGAAGAAGAAGAATGAAAAGAAGAATGAAAAGAAGAAGAAGAAGAATGAAAAGAAGAAGAAGAATGAAAAGAAGAAGAATGAAAAGAAGAAGAAGAATGAAAAGAAGAAGAATGAAAAGAAGAATGAAAAGAAGAATGAAAGGAAGAAGAAGAAGAATGAAAAAAAGAATGAAAAGAAGAAGAAGAAGAAATGAAAAGAAGAAGAAGAATGAAAAGAAGAAGAATGAAAAGAAGAAGAAGAAGAATGAAAAAGAAGAATGAGAAGAAGAATGAAAAGAAGAATTAAAAGAAGAATGAGAAGAATGAAAAGAAGAATGAAAAGAAGAAGAATGAAAAGAAGAAGAAGAAGATGAAAAAGAAGAATGAAAAGAAGAAGAGAATGAAGAATGAAAAGAAGAATGAAAAGAAGAAGAAGAAGAAGAATGAAAAGAAGAAGAATGAAAAGAAGAAGAATGAAAAGAAGAATGAAAAGAAGAAGAAGAAGAAGAATGAAAAAAGAAGAAGAAGAAGAAGAATGAAAAGAAGAATGAAAAGAAAAAGAAGAAGAATGAAAAGAAGAAGAATGAAAAGCAGAATGAAAATAAGAAGAATGAAAAGAAGAAGAAGAATGAAAAGAAGAAGAATGAAAAGAAGAAGAAGAAGAATGAAAAGAAGAATGAGAAGAAGAATGAAAAGAAGAATTAAAAGAAGAATGAGAAGAATGAAAAGAAGAATGAAAAGAAGAAGAAGAAGAAGAATGAAAAGAAGAAGAAGAAGAATGAAAAGAAGAATGAAAAGAAGAAGAAGAAGAAGAATGAAAAAGAAGAAGAAGAAGAAGAATGAAAAGAAGAATGAAAAGAAGAATGAAAAGAAGAAGAAGAAGAATGAAAAGAAGAATGAAAAGAAGAAGAAGAAGAATGAAAAGAAGAAGAAGAAGAATGAAAAGAAGAAGAAGAATGAAAAGAAGAATGAAAAGAAGAAGAAGAAGAATGAAAAGAAGAAGAAGAAGAATGAAAAGAAGAATGAAAAGAAGAAGAAGAAGAAGAATGAATGAAAAGAAGAAGAAGAATGAAAAGAAGAAGAATTCCAGTACAGCAAAAAGTGTATCTGCAGAGAGCTCCGCTATTTCTGACAGTTCTCTGACAGTTCTGACAGTTCATTTACAGCGGTTGAAACATTGTATCTATTTATTTCCGAATAAAAACATCTGTATCCTAAATGGAAACAAATAGATACAATGTTTCAACCGCTGTAAATGAACTGTCAGAACTGTCAGAGAACTGTCAGAAATAGCGGAGCTCTCTGCAGTGACACTTTTGCCGGCTGATCGGGGAAAATTCGATTCGTGTGCATCCGAAGTTTGCTAAAATTCGGATTCGATGCGAATCGAATTTTTCCTAATATTCGAAACGAATTCCACTTCGCCAAGTTCGATTCGCTCATCTCTAAATATAATAGTAGTTGTTGCATAGTAGGAGACGTGTATACTGCTGTAGGTGGCTGTGATGATACTCTTATAGCCCCATTTGATTTTTATCATAGACGAGGCAGCTGGGCAGAGTCTCTAGCCCATTGGAATTGCTGGTATCTTCGCTACAGAACAAGGAATACTCTAGTTCATTGCATCCACTGGCTCTGCCCCACATACAGTCATAACTTTATTTATTTACTAGATGATTAATTATTTTGCCCTCTGTAAATGTTTCGCCTCAAATTTTCATTCAATCTTTTCATGATGATTTATAGAGGGATATGGAGGGTGACTTGATTTTCCCTCTCTGCCACCAGTACTACGAGATGGATATTTGACCACTCTTGCCCTTCTGATAGCTCACACCATTGAATGTTGGACCATGCAATCCCATCTTGAAAGCAAGTATTTTTATGACTGCTCTGATCAACATTAGCCATTTAACTTTTTTGTAAGTATGAAAATGGAGATTGTATAATTGTTATTGACGTTCTTATACACAAATTATTACTAATCTTGGATATGTTTATTCAGAGATCCATTTTGCTGTTAATGCCCCTGAAGAAGATCTAAAAGTGAAATGATCGAAACACGTCTGGGTTCATTTGGGAATGTTTATATTCCTGCAATCTCACAAAGGGAATATATCCCTGGAATTGTCATCAGAGCTAGTGTGTTTTTAAATGTAAATGTATTTTTTGTTACCACTTTTGTACAATAAAGTATATGAGTAAAACAAAGTTCATGAGAACATATGTGACAGTATGTCCGCTGCATTAAAGTCCTAGAGGGGGTTATTTCTGTTTACATATCTGCTCTTCCTTTTTCCATCACCATTATGGACTAAACAGTTGTAAAGACCAGAAAAGAACAGCGGGAGAGCTTCACTTATAATGTAATAAGTAATGCATAAATGGAGAGAACTGCAGCTCCTCCATATGCACTCAGCTATATTGTATTTTCCCTGTGTTCTGCAGAGTCTGCAGATTTATTCAGGTCAGATCAGGATGAGCAAATGTGTCTGGATTCAGGTTGCGGGGAATTTGTTAAGCCCAGAGTGAAGTCTGAAAAAACTGAATCCCATTAAATCCTAAAGAGGGGTGACTCCAAAGTATCTATAGCTGAAGGTTAGTTGAATTTTACAATTAGTTTTTAGCGGACTGGTTTGGATTAGAGGTAGGTGGACACAAGTCTGTTTACATCCACTGCTCCATAGAGGAGAATGGAGGATTCAACTGGGTATGACTGAAAAATGGACAGGAGGAACCAATGAGACCGATCGCGTGAAAGGTGCCTTAAGGGTGTGTCATAGTGGTTGAGATTCCCCACTATTTAAACATTTTAGTTCTAGAAAAATTATTAAATTAGCAGCTCCTAAGGGAGTGAGCTTCATATAAATTCTTGCCATTTTCAAAGGTAATAAAAGATTTTCAAAAGAAGATACGGGGTACTGGGCATTGCCATAGGATACATGCACAAATACAAAAATACTTTTTAGAAATACTGTACAGAGGGGAGAAGGTCAATCTTTTAAAGCAACTTTCAAGGCAACATGGAAAAAACATCTGTCTCTAAAATTACATGCTTAGCAGATGCCTTTGAGCTGTATGAGGTATTACAAAACAGTACAATTCTCAAGGACAGGGTCAGCAACACCATGTTCTGGCATCACACCTTTTGTGTGAGTAATTTGTTTTTTCCACATTTACATTATTGCTTGGTTTATATATAGCACCAGCACCTCAATCTGAATAATAATAACAATTTAAAAAGTCAGTTGTTTAGTATAGTTTGTGAGCTTCCTATTTTTCCAGTAGTGCACTACTGTCTTGTTTTGTATGTTCTTAAAGTTTAATAACAGTTTTGTATTGCAATATATTAGAGTGTATTATCTGTGTAAGACAATATCCACAAATAGTGTTCAGTGGTAGGACAGTATGCGAGAAGCTTGGTTAAGCCACAATATATAAGGGAGAGATTAAGCTTTTATTATCTTGAAATAAACATTAGGATGTATTATCTGAAAAACAATAGCCACACAGACTATACAGTGGCAGGACAGTATGCACACAGCTTGTCACTGCTGCAATGTATGAGGGAGGAACAAGGCAGTCTCCCAATGAAAGCACTAGGTATTAGAGTGACAAAGGAAGGGAGTGGGGAATGGATAGACAAAGGGAAAGGTCAAGAAGGAAAGGATGGGGGTGTGGGGGAATGGTAGGGAAGGAAAGAGAGGAGGCATAGGAATTTAGGGGGTGGGAACAAGAATAAAGCATATCACATCCAGTTAGAGTGGTCAGATAAATATCAATGCGGAGAAGGATGATTATCATCTGAGCCCCAGGAGTCTATCCTAGCAGACCATGTTTTAGCAAACTTTTTTGGGCAGTTTCTATTAATATAGGTAAGCTTATACAGTGGTAAAACATAATTAATGGTTTTACACCATAAAGGGTTCAGTGGGTGTGTTGGTATCTCTCTACGTGCATAGAAGGTGGTATAACAAGGTGGTAGCATATCACCCCAAGATACAGTCTTTAAAAAACATTCAAAAGGAGCACCTCTGGATCCTATTCAAGGGTCAAGTCACACACTCTACTGATAAAACATCCATCCAAAAAGGATTGGCGGGAGGGGCAAGACTACACCAAGTGAAGCAAGGATGCCTCAGGCTATGGCAGCATAAGCAGGAGGGGGAGGTGGAGGCATAAATGAAAAGGCACTTTTATCCTGAAATATAAATTAGAATATTAGCCACAAAAATTATACATTCACTGGACAGAATCTAAGCATCTTAAATTGGCCACAATGTATAAGGGAGTCAAGACAGCTTTGCTTCTTAAAGTGTTACTAAACCCAGGACCCTGCATTCACTATATCTGGTCTTCCACAGTACACACAACATGGAAATGCAAATATTTTAGTAACTATAAAGCGCTAAATACCTTTTCTCATCAGCAGTATATAGCAGTCTGGTGACTTCTATCAGTGTCCAGCTGAGTACTGGTCAAAGCTTGTAGGAGGAGTTTTCATTCTGCTCTGACTGTCCTATGAGGCTGCATGACCCCTGACCCTCTGTCTGGACAGTGCTGATTGGCCCTGTGCTGATCACATGCCCCTTTCAAAGAAAAGGAAAACACTCTAGCAATACACACTAAACTGAGCATGTGCAGAATGACTCCTAGAGCTCTGTACTATCAGCAGATGTACTGGGGACAGTAGAAGAGGGGAGCATCAGAGAAGACAGGATCAAAAAGCCTTTTTACACAATGCAGAGCATTAACCCTCTAGGTTCCACAGTGAGTATAACAAGCATGCTTTACAGCATATACAGACTGATTTTACTGTTGTGGGTTTAGTAACTCTTTAAATAAAAATGACAGTGTACTATTTACAAGATGATAGCCACACATACTGTACAGTGACTGAGCAGAACGTAAGGAGCTTGATTAGACCGCAATGTACGAGGGAGTGACAAGCAGGTTTTATCCTGCAATAAACACTAGAGTGTATTATTTTAGAGACAATAGGCACACATATTGTACATCTGCTGGACAATATGTAAGCAGTTTAAATAGCCTGCAATGTAAGCATGAGAAGGCAGGTTTTTTCTTGAAAAAAAAAAAAAAATCAGTGTGTATTATTTAATGGGCAATAGCCACATACAGTGGGGCAAAAAAGTATTTAGTCAGCCAACAATTGTGCAAGTTCTCCCACTTAAAAAGATGAGAGAGGCCTGTAATTGGCATCATAGGTAGACCTCAACTATGAGAGACAAAATGAGAAAAAAATCCAGACAATCACATTGGCTGGTTTGGAAAGAATTTATTTGCTAATTATGGTGGAAAATAAGTATTTGGTCACCTACAAACAAGCAAGATTTCTGGCTCTCACAGACCTGTACCTTCTTCTTTAAGAGGCTCCTCTGTCCTGCACTCATTACCTGTATCAATGGCACCTGTTTGAACTTGTTGTCAGTATAAAAGACACCTGTCCACAACCTCAAACAGTCACATTCCAAACTCCACTATGGTGAAGACCAAAGAGCTGTCGAAGGACACCAGAAACAAAATTGTAGACCTGCACCAGAGGAGATCTGCATGGAGGAATGGGCCAACATACCAGAAACAGTGTGTGCCAACCTTGTGAAGACTTACAGGAAACGTTTGACCTCTGTCATTGCCAACAAAGGATATATAACAAAGTATTGAGATGAACTTTTGATATTGACCAAATACTTATTTTCCACCATAATTTGCAAATATATTCTTTTCAAATCAGCCAATGTGATTGTCTGGATTTTTTTTCTCATTTTTTCTCATTTTGCCCCACTGTATATTGTATAGTCGCTTGACAGTAGTAAGCAACGTGGTTAGGCTGAAATGTAAGAGGGAGAGGTGAGGCACTTTTTATCCTTAAATAAAAATGAGAGTGTAGTGTAGTGTAGTGAGAAAAAAGCCACAAATATTGTATAGTCGCTGAACAGTATGTAAGCAGCTTCTATAGACTGCAATGTAACAGGGAGAAATCAGGCATTTTTTATCCTGAAATAAACAATAAAGTGCATTATTTCAGAAGACAATGATCACAAATGCTGTACATTGGCAGCACAGTGCATAGGCAGCTCCATTGGTCCACAATGTAAAAAGAAGAGACAAAGTAGGTTTTTATCTTGAAATAAATATTAGTGTATTATTTCATAGACAATAGCTACACATATTATAGTGTGCTGGGACAGCATGTAAGGAGCTTGGTTAAACCACAATATAAAGGGGAGAGATGAGGTGGGTTTTATTTTGAAAAAAAACATTAGAGTGTGTTATTTCCTAGACCGGGTGTCGGCAACCCGCGGCTTCAGAGCCGCATGCGGCTCTTTTTCACCTTGGCTGCGGCTCCGGAGCACACTG